CGACTAAATTTAGTCCAGATCAATCCTCAGAAGACACAAGTTTGCGCGTTTACCGCTAAAAAGAAGAACCTCTTTGTCGTATCTCCTCAGTTTTAAGGCACTCCCCTTCGGAGTCGACATATCGAGTGACGTGCAATTTCGTGGCCAATTGGAAGAGAAGGCCAAATTGGCGTCTAAAAAGTTTGGCGTGCTCAGCAGAGCGGGACAGTATTTCATGCGGGCACACAGCTTGCAGCTTTACAAGGCGCAGGTTGGGCCTCACATGTAATACTGTTCCCATCTCTGGGCAGGGGCTCCCCAGTGCCAGATCCTTCCACTTGACCGCCTCCAGCGCAGAGCGGCTCGAATCGTCGACGACCGAGTCCTTTCTGATCGGCTCGATTCATTGGCACTGTGAAGAGATGTTGCATCCCTTTGCATTTTCTTTCGCATCTACCACGGGGAGTGCTCTGAGGAATTGTTCGGATTCGGATTTAGATGTTTTCTTCCTCGCACGACTTCTTTCTGGAATCGATTACCATCAGCGATTTTTCCGGACCGATACGACTTAGGGACCTTTAAGAAAAGAGCCTACTCCTTTTTAAAAGGCTGGCAACGCATCTGCAATTCCCCTGCTGTTGCGGTTGTTCATGGGCGGCGGTAGTCACTTACCATCAGGTGAGCCGCATGCTCGTTTGCCCCCTCTCCTATAAAAAAAAAAACCACTTGAACGCTGCTCGACAAAATCGTGTGATAGTTTTATGTAATCAGATGTTAATTAAATTTGAATTTGTTTTCGTAGAACAGTAAATGCGGTTAAATAATTTGTTTAGGGAATAGCCTCTGAGACTTGTAAGGACTATAACAAAGCAAGCCGTGTCTGAGTCGAATAATAATCAGCTTCTTTGTTCGCTTTGATTCAATTAAGTCATTCGGGTTTTTCGTGTCTGATAATTTTTTTTTACTTTTATTTGAAAAATAGAAGCTATATGAATTTTAGCATTAATACCCAGTTATATACATATATTAGGTTTCTGGCTGGTTCTTCCCAGAATAGAGTTCTTTTCCAGAACCAGTGGTGATAGTAAAAAATTACTTTCAATATATAAATAAAAATTTCGGATTTTATAAAATATGGATAAGAAGTATTAAAAGTGACAGAAAGTACCCTTAATAAACATAAAGAAGCTTCTGTTAATACGTGGGCTTAGCCATTGCTTAAGTTAGTAGAACAAAAATATGTTTTTGACATTATATTCAACTTTTCATTATTTCTAAAATATAAGCACAGTAAAAATGTATTTTTATATTTAAATTTGTAACAACCTAGAATAATATTGTTAAAAATAAATGTGTTATTGTTGGATAAAATCACCCTTAATCCGCACGTCGATATTGATAAAATTTATTAAATTTCACTATTCTTGAAATTATTTTTAGGAAGAGTTACTAAAGCTGTCTTTTCGGTATTTTAAGGTATAAATTTGGTTTACGCTTCTAGTTATAGTATAGCTTAAAGTTTAGAGAATTGATTATTATAAATTACTGGATATATTAATAATTATTATATTTTAATAATTATATACTATTTTCAATTAATTACCTTATATTTAACTATTTCCCTGGCGGAAATCTTTTTTTTTTATAAATGAGCACACAGTCCTCCTGATGGTAAATAGTTGCTGTGACCCATAGACACCTACATCTATCCTCAATAAAGAATCAAAATGCAGATGCGTCGTCACCAGTGAGTACTAGGATGGAATGCCTCTTTTCCAGCAGTAAAGGTCTCCGGTCTTATCTACAAATCAATATTTTATAAGTAATATTTTTTCTTTGTAAAATCATAACCTCAATTTGTTACACAGGAATATTGACACAGTTACTTCTGTAACGGCTTCAGCGCTGCGGGGAATGCAGCTCCTTCGCCCTTGCGTAGCAAATCGCAGGTATACCGTACGCAAGTACCGGATGTCTATAGTTTTACCATTTTCAGAAGATTTTCAGAAGACATTGTTTTTGCATCTGCTTTCTCTCATCTGTTCTGCATAACAACTTTATTTTTATTATGAGCGCCTTGTCATTGCCTATACTTACAGTATTTAATTTCAACAGTTCGATGCGGTGAAAATTTTAGAGCACCTAATTTTTAAATCTCGCACCTAATTAGAACCCAAATAGCCTCTTATTTTGGCTTTTTCTAAATGCAAATTCCTGACAGGTCTAACTTTAGCTTATTAAGGCTACAGTCTTTTAAAGTTGACTCACATCGAATCATTAGCGCCACTTTTATTTCTTTTTTTACAGCAAATTATTGTTTCAGAGTAAAATATTTTGATAAAACATAAATATTCAGATTGTAAGTAATGGCTACATATTTTTTTTTGGTTCATCTATGTGGTTTATGTTAGATAAATCAAACGGTAAATAGAGCTCTCTCGCACCCAACGCAATTTCGAGCTTTGTTCGTGTACCATTTATAAGGCAATCGATAATAAAAAAGCGAAATCTATTCAGCGCGTTAATAGCTAAACATCTTCATCTCCAAAATACGCTGTTTCTTTTTTTTCTAAATATCTCTCATTGTCTTAAATAAGAGGTCTTAATTTCGTCAAATTTCGCTGTTTTCACCTCATAAAAAACTATTTGGTTCATAGCAATTGCTGAAAATATTTATGGCATAATAATTATTTTCTCAAGGGCAGGTGCTTAATTAGACAAATATTAAAAAATAATCATTTAAACTACTTTGTTTCAAAATTAATAATTATTTCGATCGACCTATAAAATAATGACTTTATAAACAATAATTGCGGGCAATATTCCTTAGTAGCCGCTGAGCGGCTGTAGCGTTCAGACGTCTTGTCTGTGCCAAATTTTTGCGTTTCCTCTCGCTCTAACATTCCTCTTTCTCTCTCTTTCCCTAACCTTGGTTGTGCATTGTTACGAATTGAAAGTTGCTCTACTTTATTATTTTTTGCATATAATTCTTTAAGGGTTTATAAATCATTTTGTATTTGTTTTATAACTTTTAATCTCGATATGGACCATAAACGTAAAAAATATGCTTGTACCAGAAAAAGAAAATTGAAATCAAACGTTGAAACAATGAACAGAAATAGAATTCAAAGGAAAGTTTTTTTGTGTTTCATACTACAATAGTTAACAACGTGCATATGTGTGAGCACTTGGTTAAATATTAGGTATATAATTAGGTAGGTACTTTTAAAAATTGTTTATAAATGAGTTGCATATTTGTAGCCAGGTCCGCTGCTGGTTCTCGCCAACCATTGTCAGATGTTAGCAACATTGAAATTGACGAACACCGTTTATCAGGACATGACGAAAGTAGACTTTTACGAACGACTTTAACAAATATAGAGTCTGTAACAAAGTCTGACAGTCAAGATATGACGAATAAAAAGGAAAGACGGAAACGAAAGTTTGAGGAGGCTTTTCCCTTTCGCTGAATTTCAGTAAGAAAACGTCAGGAGCTTATAAATGTTAGTCAAAACCACCAGCTACACATTGAAAATTATACAGATATGACCAATGATGCCGAACTTTTTTGCCTAGACGGACGAAAAATCGTATCGATCAGATATTTTTTAGAAATGTTAGGAAAGATTGCTGATCATAATGCTAAATCATTTGGATGCAGATATACAAATCTGAAATGTATCGGTGAGCGACGAAAAGGTTTTGTATCAAAATTACATTTTAAGTGTGAACTCTGCAATTCATAGTTCGACATATGCACTGATGATCCATCTAACACTTGTGATGTAAATCACAGTGTTGTTGCAGGTACTATTAGTATTGGCTGTGGGTTAAGCAATTTGAATAAATTATCAGGTAATACCGATATACCTGGTATGTCAAAAAATTTATACGCCCAAACAAGCAAAAAAGTTTATAAATTGTTCAATATAACGGCAGTGGAAGAAATGACTAAGGCTGGCGTCGAGGAGGCTGAACATGCAAAAAAAAATTGGAAATGTAGACAGAGAAGGCACACCAATGATTGACGTGATAGCTGACGGATGTTGGTCAAAAAGATCATACCGTAATAATTATTCAGCATCATCGGGAGCAGCAGCAATAATCGGTGCATATACTGGTAAAATACTGTACCTTGACGTGAAGAATAAATACTGCATTGTATGCGCAAATCACATATGCTACAAGAACTTTTCTGGCAGTTCTTCCAGTATGCAGTCAACAACACTCGTTGAAGGGTTTAAATCCTCACTTGAAACTCATGGATTAATTTATGCTAGATTAATATCAGATGGCGAATCAAGTACTTATAATAAATATTAGATAGCAATCCCTATAAAAACTGCAAGGTTCAGAAGATCAAGTGTAGAAACCATCTTCTAAGAAATCTGTGTAACAAGTTGAGAGCACTTACTAAGGATTCACATATACCTATTCAATCAAGGAAACTTTTAACAGACTTCAAAATTATGAAATTACGCAGATATACGGTGCAAGCTATTAAGCTACGGAAACGCGAAGAAGTATCTGACAATCAGAAAATGATCAAACTTCGATCAGATATTTTGAATGCATAATACCATTCTTTTGGTAGTCACTTTAACTGCGATGATGCTATATGCCCCGCGACTGACAAAACTGATCGTAATACGGCACTTGACTTAACGAACATAGTTTTGTGGAGAAAAATGAGTCAAATTGTCTCATTCTTAGCTTCAAATGCTAAAAGTCTCGTTTTTGACGTAGATAGCAATCCCGCTGAAACATTCAATTCGGTGATTGCTAAATATGTGGGAGGCAAACGAATTAATTACACACAAATAAATTCATACCAAGAAAGGTGTGTGGCTGCAGCAATTTCTTTTAACACGAAAAGGCCAATATATACAATCTATAAGTATATAATAAATATATACAATATATTTGGCAAACCCACTGGTAAATATACGAATTCATATGAGACACAAAAACTGAAAAGAAAAGTGTACAAAAGATCTTTTCGAAAAAGATTTCGTAGAAATATGGATGATCCAGATTATGGACAAAAAGCACAAAGACCAGATATGACTGAAGAAGATTTTCAGATGTCAAAAAGTGAATTTCTTAAGCAAATAGGACTTTCAGACCAACAAAGAGACGATCTACAGATACATACGATAGATCAAAGTTCTAGTCAAGAATGGTTAGAAAACAGAAAAAATCGATTAACCGCGTCTATATTTGGTAAGATATGTAAACGGAAAGAAAACATCAGCTGCGCTCCGTTAGTGAGATCTATTGTGAAACCGCAAATCATATCTAATGTTCCATCGATAAAATATGGCAAAGCTAATGAACAAACAGCATTAGCTCAGTTATCTCGGCAGGAAAGTATTACAATTACTCGCTGCGGTCTATATATAGATAAAACACTACAATTTTTAGGGGCGAGTCCCGATGGTAGTTATAAAAATAAAGAGGGAAAAACGGGACTAGTAGAAATAAAATGTCCATTTTCCGCAAAAAATATGCAATCTGACGAAGCTGTTAAAGCGAAGAAAATAAAATTTTGGAAGTACAATGCAAAAAATAACACTTTTTCGGTTGACAAAAACCACGATTATTATTTTCAAATTCAGAGTCAGTTAAACATTACGGAGATAGATATGTGCTTATTTTCCATATGGACTGGAGAGGAGCATTCTATGAAAATAGAATATGTTAAGAGAGACCCTGAGTTCTGGCAGGACAAAATGGTAGGCCCATTGTCTAAATTTTATTTGAATTGTCTGCTTCTTGAGCTAATTGATTCTCGCATGGAACGCTCGATGCCAATCAAAGACCCTCCATACATCATTCAAGCCATTGAAAATAAATAAAAAAAATAAAAATAAATCTCGCGCTAAGTCGTTTGTCGATGCTGCTGTACAAGAATAGTAATTTATGCATATAGGTAAATGCTATACAAAGTTACATTATACTTTAATGAGAGACTATAAATATGTGTGATAGTGGACTGTTTGTACTTATATAAAAAATATTTTAAGTTTCTTTTAAAAATCTATTTTAGTATTTAAAATTACTTGACGTACTTGAAGGATTTTCGATAGTGTCATCGACTTATTATGAAACCCTCAGTGCACGACTCATTCTAGCACTTGCCAGATTCATTTGAATAATCAATATTACGAGTACATGTTATACAGGTTCTAGATGATTATCTTTTAAAAACCTTTTCAACAAAACAACAAAAATTATACAAACTTAAAATTTTTTTTGTGTAACAAATTTTGTAATAAAGGCATGGACCAAAAATAGTTAGATATAAGGTAGAAAATCTGTATGTGAAAATTTGTTAGCTAATTATCAATAATCCTGTATATTAGGTGAATTGATACTGGAAAATCTTAGTAGAGCAACTTAACTTTCCACGCTACGGCCAGAAAGATTACTGCGGTGGCGGCACATGAAGTGGCGGGGCAGGGAGGGTGTAGATGTGTCACCAGAACGCGATTTTTCTGTTTTGCTCCGAAAGACTGGGCTCTTAAGTTAATGGTAGTGAGTAGATTTGTCCATCCGAGTTGTAAATGTATGCGTGAGAGGGCTTAAGTTTCTCTTTGCGCAATTTCGTAGATTCCCAATATCGTGGCTATTTGTGACTTTTTTTTGAATTTAAGTCTATTAACCTGGAATTTTCTTACTATTAGTTAATTTAAAATTGCAAACGACTAAAAACAAACAAAAGAAATATTTTACAAGAATAAAATATTTTTGTACTTAACATTTTTTTCATTAATGTATATGAAAGGCTATAACGTAGGGTATAATCAGTACTTATTGTTGTCCTCCTCTAGCTTTGCGAACTGCTTGGAAGCAGTTCGCAAAGCTAGAGGAGGCTAGAGGAGGCTAAAGGAGACTGGAGTCTCCTTGGAATACTCTTAATCAATAAAATCTTGAGATATTGCATTCCATTCTTCTTGTAATGCGGTTTTAAGATATCTCAAATTAGCGGGCGCACGATTTCTTTTCTTAATTTGTTTTTCTAACTTATCAACTCTTGACAACTCGTGTACCACAGATTTTGATATTTTGTAATATTTGGGCCACATTTTTATAGGTGTGCTCATTTTCATTTAAAGTAACAGACCTAGCAACTTGGGTGGCGTTTAGATTTCGCTTTCTCATTTTATTTGCATTTACAGAAAAATATTATGAAATGATTATTCACAATTAATACGATCAACCAGGCAGTCAAGGAAAAAATTAAAAAAGATTCTAAATTCAAATTCAAAAAAATTGACAAAAATTTTTTTCACTATGAAAGAACGCAACATTGCGTTATAATTACATAAAAACAAATGAAATTTGAAAAAAAACATTTCAAAACTTTATTTTATTAATAGAATTTACTAATATTTGTGGCCAGTACGCACGATAATTATAACAGGAGAAATTAAAGCTTTTTTGCATTCCTCTAAATTTGTCCGTGAGTGTACATATTATTCTTATTATATTAATTTTAAAATACAATTGAAGTGTTTATTTCTGAATTATTTTCGAAGTATTAGGACTCTAACTTATTTCTGACGCCAAAAAGTAGTGCATGCACCGCTGTGACGCATCTATCTAAATCCTCAGATGGTTCAACATATCTGTAGCCTGCTGTATTTGAAGTTGACTGCAACTTTACTTTACTTTTTAAGGACTTATGATAGTAAGGACTAAGATACAAAAGCATTAATATAGAAGGTTTCTTAGATGCATAAGCATTATAATAGCAGAGTTATAGATTGAAGTCCCATATATAAAAAAAACATATAATAGTAAGGTCTTTGAAATAAAGCAATATGTGGAGAGTCCCAATTACATATATAAAAGCATTATATTGATAGAAATGGGATTTGAAAAGGATTTTTATCGTGGTGTTTAGACTGCTTCACAGCGTTCGAGACAGAGGTAAACTTGGACTTGCTAACCGATATGTCCTAGGCATATCATCTCAGTGCTGGTGGTAAGCGGGTTAATTGTAGCAATATGGCTTACAGCTGTCGGCGTATAAGCGCATAGCGTTATGACATGTCGGCTATCTTTTGAACAGCAAGCATACTCAACTCCATTTCTTAGTCTGACCTCTTAGTAGCATGCTACTATGATAACTTGGTGCTATTTTTAGTTAACAGAAGTACCAATTTTGTTACCAAAGTCGATAGGGATCATGTGGTAGTAATGAGAGGGCGCAATCCGTATGATAGTTGCATTGATGCTTACTGCTACTTGCGGTATGGCATCTTGTGATGGATCTGCGGGTGTGCTGTGCCTGATTCGATGCATCTTGTGGTTTTTGTTGATGGAAGTATGCAGGTGGTTATATCTACTGGGATTGTACTGAGAACCTTGGGATGGTGTAAGCCGACGATAGTCGTATTGATGCTTGTTGCGTTTTGCAACATTGCGTCTTTGCGATGGTTGTTTGGCGGGACTCTATTCTCAATGGCGCTCTCTGCGTCTTGGTTTGACACACACCTAAGTAGCCTTGCCCAAGTCGGGTTCCTTCATGACGGGGCTACAGACTGTCTAACCTCAATGGTGTATATATATGTATATAGTATAGTATGTAAATTTCCCACCTTCGAATGATTGAAGGCAACTAATTTGTGGGTAAAACAAACATGATTGAAAAATGCATATACTCAACGTCAATTACACAAACCTTTTATAATGGCGAATTATTACTATTACCTTATAACTGTCTTTTGCTTTATCCGGCGTTGTATTGGTTGGTTAAGAATATGTGTGGACCTTATGCAGGTGGTAGCTGGAAGAATGAGACTCTCAAGGCCAAAATCATCATCAAAACGTGGACCACATTCCCTTGGTGAAGGTCCAACAGGGAAGGTGTATGATCCTCCACATCTGGAATCCGCGTAGGTGAAGTAACCAGTTGTGTCAGACCATATGCCAAGGCAAAGTCATAAACAGATCTCCCCGCATGATCGGTTAAACGTGAACCGAGCCATTCGGCATGGTGGGCGTTAAAATCGCCAAGGATCACGATCTCTGCGGATGGGACCTGTTGTAGCAAGGAATCTATAGCCATTTGGACGTGGTCGATGAGTCGTTCTGTTTCAGCATTACCGCTATGAGACCTATAGAGGAACCCGTAGACGCGCGGATGGTCGTCGCTGTCTACGCGTAACCAAAGGATGGACAGGTCCTAACCGTCAAGACTGCCGAGGCGTCGAGAACAGGTGTCCTCTCCGACTTACACGCAAACTCCAGCCCGAGGCACAAAGGAGTGCTCATATTTGTACCCCGGGTAGGAGAGATACGAAATATCAGCCGGAGAGAAAACCTGCGTCTCGGTTAGAAAGAGCAAGGCCGGCTTCGCCGTCTCAAGATGGTAGTGGACGGCGTTTAGGTTAGAGTGAAGTCCCCTGATGTTGCAGAAATTCACGGATAGCGGGGCAGGGGTCGCCTTGGTATTGTTGCTCAGTTTGCCCCGAACAGTTATGTTTTTGAGCGGAATTTTGCCCCCCCCAGAATACGCGGGGCAGCCTGAGCACGCACGCTCAGGATTGGAAAAACATGGTCGTGGATGCTCAGCGAGGGATTCTCCAGGGGTACTGGTACCCTCCTGGGGTAGTCTATCGTGTAATTCCGCTACCATGTGAAGCAGAGCCTCTACTTCACGCCGGTATTCTGTGAGGTCGTGGTACCAACATGGCTCGAGCCGGCCCATACGTGCAACAGCAAAAACTGCTGCGTTGCTCTACCACCGTTCAACCATACAGGTTGAACGGAACAGCTCGCTTGGACTATACAGGTCCAATGCTTCAAAGCTTCGCGACGCTCGCTAGGGGACAAAACGGAATCAGAGATTAGGTTGGACGGGTCTCTCGAATTGCGGACAAATCGACGCAACCAATCACTCCTAAGAGCTTATCGAGAGAGCTGTACCGTTCTAGCAGGGAGAAGAAATCCCGAGTGGGCTTATCCTTGCCCACTCCTACTCGGGCTCGTAGGCCAGGCAATTCAATCGGTTTGGAGTATTTATTCTGGGGCCAGAATGACTGTGGCAGAGGCGGTCTTAACGCAACCTAACGTTCCGGGCGTAACTTCCAGACTAGTCAGGACACGGCCGCCCGTTATGACGCGCGCGGGAAAGGGTTCTAGTCGGTGACTGGTACCATCGTATGAATGTGCCGAGAGGTGCGTTTTGAATGCAAGTTTTAAATGTTAAGATTTGGCCTAAACAGATGGCTTGGGATTTTATAGTGTTTACTGTTAACCCATAAGATCGACTCCAGTCGAGAATACAAGTCAGATCCTTATTGATACATTCAACTAATTTGGAAAGATCTTCAATGGTTGTTTGTTGTGGTAGAAAAAAATGTTTGGTATGTAATCGGATTAATAAAGATTGCGAATAAAAGAGGAGATAAGACGCTAGCTTGTGGAACGCCAGCTACAGTATCTAGCTACGAATAAATTCTATCTTGGACTCGAATACGTTGCAGGCGCCCATAAAATAACTATGAAACCAGAAAATTGCAGTTGAGGGCATATTACGAGAACGCAGAATCCGTAACAGGATGTTATGATCAACAGTATTGAAGGCATTGCTAAAATCCAGCAACATCAATAATGTGATTTGATGATTTTCTATTTCTTAAACAAAAGGAATTAACTTTTTGTTGCACAAGGCGTTCTAAGATTTTGGAAAAGAAAGGAAGAATCGAAATAGGACGATATTTAGAAAAACTTCAAGAATTTGCTTTTTTGGGTAAAGGTTTTGAAAATGATTTGGGCGTCTTTCCATTGGGATGGGAAAGAAGATGAGGATATGGAAATGTTTAAGATTTAGGTTTATAATAGGTTT